AAACTGGCCAAAATATTAGTGAGTATAGATGTAGAACTGAAAAATTCAAAAACTCTTTTTTTTCCTTCCACGATTTCTTTATGGAACTCTATTGATCTTGATGTGAGAAATTCAATCTCTCATGCTATTTTTAAAGTTAAAATAGTTAATCATTTTCATCCATTTAATTATGATAAATGGCGTAATAACTTTTCACTTACGAGAAGAGCCTCTGTCTTACATACAAGACTAAGATTAGGCTGCTGTGCCTTGAATGATTATTTATATAGTATTAATTGTTGTAATTCTCCTTTATGTGCATGTGGTTTAGAAAGTGAATCTGTAAAACATGATCTATTATCATTCCCCGTTTTGCTGCTCAACGTATCAAATTTCTTACCTCAGCTGCACAAGTCTTTGGTCAATCATGGCTAGTGAGTGGTGAGAATGAGAAAGTTAAGTGTATGTTGAAAGGATCTATCCAGTTGAGTTATGAAGAAAATTGTATGTTATTTGGCATAGTTGAACGGTATATTCTGGATACTTGTCGTTTCTTCTAGCCATTATGACTCAATTGTGTCTGTCTTCCGCTTTGTTATTGGTTGTATCTTTTTGTGTTTGTATTTTTGTAAACATTCTTTTTTATGTATAAAACATTTTTGTAAATAAATTAAATGTGAGCCTCCTTGATAAGCCTTGGCTTTTGAGGCAAATATATTAACAAAGTTTATATAAAGAAAATTAAGAGTGCTTGAAGCGAAATCAGATTCACTACCGGTTACCTCGGGGGTTCCTCAAGGAACCATACTGGGACCCGCAATGTTCCTGCTATATGTGAATGAACTCCCAAATGTAGTTAACTTTGGCGAAATCGCGATGTGCGCGGACGATTCAAAAGTGTTCAAGCCATAAACTCCATAAAGTCTGCGGATAATGCCTCTGCCCTTCAAACTGACCTGACAAACATGGATAATTGCATGTCGTCCTCTGGCCTAGCATCCAACGTGACAAAATGTCAATCCCAGTCTATACCCCGTAAGACAATCTCCACTCATTATAATATCAAAGACAAGAGTGTAGAGTCGGTCGAGAGCGAGCGGGATCTTGGAATATGGATTTTGTCGTGATTTGTCATGGAAAAAGCAAGTTCTAGAACAAAGTGCCCATGCGAACAAGTTACTCGGATACATTAAAAGTAACTGATCCCATTTCATTACTAATACTTAATTAAACGAACGATAATGTACGCTCGCAATTGGGGTATGCCTCGCAAATCTGAACACCCCAATATTATTATTATTATTATTATTATTATTATTGATCTTTAAACACGGTAACCTTTCACATAGGTGATTTTCAAAGGGCCGTGCGGAAAATAAATGCATTATAAAAAAAGGAACTAATAAACTAATTTATACTTATTTACAAAATATACTTATTTACTTATTTACAAGATGTAATTATTTAATAGATGATGGACAGATTTTAAATTTGTTGATTCTCTTAGGGTTTTCAACAAGTTTACTGGGATGTTGTTCCAATACGCTGTTCCTCTGTACGAAAAGCTATTTTTCAAGAAATTCGTTTTTGGTTTAGGTTGAGACAGCTTTAAATTACTACTGCGCAGTACGTAACCATTGTTTTCGCAAGTGTGAAATAGTTGTGTTACGTATTCTGGAAGCATGCCATTAATCGCTTTAAATGTCATAAGGAGATCTCGCTTTTTCAAAACTAAGTCAAAAGGTTTCCAGCTAAGTTTTTGAAAAATGTCCGAAGATCTTATAGTATAGTCCGAATTTGTTATTATTCTTGCTGCTCGTTTCTGAAGCTTATATAATTTGTCTAAGTGTGTTTGGTTGTTATTTTGCCAAACAGTTGAACAGTAGTTAAAATGAGGCGCGACTAATGCGTTATACATAATTTTGAGCGTATCTAGGCCAACAAAATCTTTGGCTTTTCTTAAAAGATTAATATTTTTTGATATCTTGTTGCATTGTTCTTCATTTTGCCTATTCCAGCTAAGTCTATCGTCTATAACTATACCCAAAGCTTCCTTTTTATAAACTCGTTCAATTTGATGTCCGTTTATACTGATTTTTGGCACGTGATCTAAGTTTTTCAATCGTTGCCGAGATCCAATAATCATATATTTGGTTTTTTCGTTGTTTAATGTTAGTTTATTCGCTGATAACCATTTTTGAGCATTTACTAGGTCTTTGTTAAGTTTGTATTCAATATCTATGGATAAATGCCCTTGACATGATAAAATTGTGTCATCAGCAAATAAATTAGAATGTGTTGTTTCTAGGCAGTTTGGGAGGTCGTTTATGTAAATGAGAAATAATAGAGGTCCAAGATTTGAACCCTGAGGTACTCCACAACGAATTGTTTCAATATCAGATTTACAGTTATTTAGCATGCAAATTTGCTTTCTTTGATCTAAATACGATTGGAACCATTTGAGTGTGTGGTCGCGTATCCCATAAGCTTGTAGTTTTGACAATAGAATCTGGTGATCAATCGTATCAAATGCTTTTTTATACCTTCTTTTATAATCTTATACCTTCACTGTTATTATTTTCCTCATCTTTCATTTTGTCCAAATAATTCTTCTGAAAGTCTTCCTCTGTGGTTTCGTTGGTGATGTTTATCACAGGAAGTGGAGCGTATTCAAATGACACCTTCATCTTCGATCCTCTTTGACGACTTTTCTCAAACACTTCCTCCCTGGCAAAACAGCAAAACAACTATTGAAAGACTTCATGCACACATCTTTCTGTAACTAAAAATCAATTACTTTTGTATAAAGAAAAAGTAAAGAAAACTAATTGAATAAAATGCATATAAGGTCTGGTCCTTCCTGGACCTCTAGGAAGACAAACCAGTTTAGCGTAGATAGAGCAATTATTTTGCATTAGTTTAGTTTAGTTTTAAGTTTCCTCCTGTGGTAACACTCAACCAATAACGTATGTCATTATTTGACATCAGTTAGGAACATGCTCTTAGCCAGGGTCCTGAAAGAGGGCGTCCACTTTTGGTATAACGATACATCTACAGTAAAGACTGGGGGGAGGGGGCTCGAGAAAACGTTCCTCTGGAAAACCTTTGAAGTTTACGTTACTTCATGTCAGTATCCAAGCTCGTTCGAAATTTTTCAAAGTAACACACGTGGCTTTGTAAGTTTGTGCCGCTATGCTTCTTTACTTATCTACGACATTTTCATTCAACCAGGTACACCATCAAATTGATTAAAATGTCAAATGTATAATAATAATGAGAATTGAAGCTATTTCGTTTCAGATATACTAATATACTTAGGGAAATCGTTGAAAATCATTTCCCTTTCCCCCCAGAATTTAGGCGTCCAAAGGCGTCCATTTTTCGTTCTAGGGGCGCCCCAGGACGCCCTTCTGGCTAACAGCTAGGTTAGGAAGACCAGTTTAGAACTGATAAAACTATCCAGTGCGAATAAAATAAGTTATAAAAGCAAGAAACTTACTGGTCTCCATTTGTATCAAGGCCAAGTCTTGCGAGAGGAATTTGGTATTCTAACACAGTATATTTATTTCCTAATTTTCTCTTTGCTTTCATCTTTAGAATCAACTAAATAATTAAAATTTTTGCGTTGCTAAATACGTACACTATACTTAACAAAGAAAAGGGGGGAATCATGTTTACAATAATATCGTGAAAATTGTGTTTACCTTGTCATAAGTTAAACTGTAGACAAGAATGGAAATTTTATCAGACCATTCGTCACCATGATGGATTTCCTTAAGCTGTCGTTTTTGCTCACCAAGAGTTAAAGCACACCAGTGAACATCGTCTAAAACCACAAGGAAAGAAATCTCATATTATCTGAAAAGGAATCTTTATGTAATTTTTTATAACTGTCAAGATAATTTTTAAGCTATGGTTAAAAGTGTCAGTTGTTGTTACAATTAATTTTATCGGCGATACGCACCTGTGAGTCTACCATCATAACCTCCTTCGATGGTCAGTGTGAGGATACCACAACCTAAAGAAAATAACTTCAAGCTGTTAATACAGTATTGTATTTTTATTTAGAGCCATATAGAGCTACATTAACTGTTTGTGCCGCTGCCAACCAATTTACATTTTCGGATAGCTAGTATGCCTTGTTACCACTGTCCTGATATATGCATGGTATAAAGGTAACAAAGCGTTTCAATTATATATGTGAGTGAATTGGAGAGCAACAGGCCTAGGTCTATGAAAAGCGGTGCATAATTAATTGAAGTGTGTTGTTGTTACCGTATTGTGCTCCGTGTCCAAGAACGTCGGGGTCGTCACATAATGGAATGGTGAGTCTGCCTGGATCAACCAGAGCTAAAAAGTATGAAAAGGATATTAACTAACTTTACTTATACTGGATAGCTAGCTCTATCGGTTCTGAACTGTTCTTACTAAAGGTCCAGTAAAGGTCGTATCTTATTGATCCAGTGTTACTGACTGAAGGAGGAAACTGGAGTGCCCAGAAAAAACCTGCATACAAGGCATGAGAAAGTCCGCCAGCATGGCAGCCAGGAAATTTTCTTAATCTCACAGGAAATTTTTAAGGAAAAGCAAGATATCAAGAATGAAGCTCGAGAAATTTCAAAAATCAGCATTAAAGTAACAAACATCACAATTAGAGCATAAATACAACAATCATAACATAAAAATTTGTATCATGTGGCAATGCTATATACGACTGTCTGTTATCATGACTCATGATTATGATACATGTGGAAAACAAGGGCATACTACCATTATTGAACAGTGCATGAATACTGATATAAATTCAGATTTACAATCTGAAAACAAAATTCAAATATCGTTTCATAGAATTCCTTCATGTTCCTAATTCTAGTAAACCTATATTTTTCTTAATATTGAGGTAGTATACTAGTATATGACTTATTAAGGTAGTATACTGTATATACGACACTGTTATCGAATTACAACCAAAATTCATATTTATAAAAAAATTAGCAGGAAATTTTAGGTCTGGGAAGCCTGCTGCCAGGAAGAAAAATATTTTATCAAGGCTTGCCTGCATGTTGGGTAGGATCAAATGGACGAAAAAGAAATTTTAATCATACAACTTCTGCATGTCACAGAACTGAAATGCACATTCACTTACAAATTATCTACGAAAGATTAACCCACAAAAATTCAATAAACTACCACTTACATAATTTCAAACAGTCGTTAACAAGATTGGCAACCCAGCTCTTGAGCAAAGGAAACTCCATCAGTTGAACGGCTTTCAATAGACGAATGTTAAATTCAACTTCAGGTCTAAAGAAATACGACAGAAACACAATAAAAGAATTGGTAATTTACAGCAAGCGTTACAAACAGCAGATGGTGTTCCTCTCCAGAACTGTTAACCACTATGGAAAAAATTTTATTGAAAATTTCTTCGCTCTTTCCGATCGATTGTGCTTAGTGAAACCACGCACCTACAATTTTAATGATTAATTTACTATTCATATAACCGATACTCACTCTTCTAGAAAGCAGAGAGAAATCGCAGCAAGATGTGGAAATGGAATATTGCGATTAAAAGAAAACACAAACTGCATCTTTCCATTGATATGAAAATCTTCAACAGCTATATCTGTACTCAAGTCCAGCAATCTGAATTTTAAAAAATAAGTTTGATTATTGGGCCATTGAATAAGTGTTTTATGCTTTTTCAGGTAGGCAGGCAGCACAACGATCTTAGAGAAGTTTGAAGTTTTCTGTATCACTTTCAGGCGGTTACAAGCAGACGTTAAAAATTTAATGTGGTGCTTCCTGAACAAGTCCCTCGCGTTTGAGATATTCGATGAGAAATAAAATAAATTAAATAAATCTTACGCAGCTTTGGCAATTTTAACTCGTATGACAAATTTTGAATCTGGCGATGCAAGGCCAAGATCCACATCCATGACAGCCTTGTACTTGGGCGTCCTTGACAAATCACTTGGTGGGAATCTCATTGCCAGTTCAGATGCTTTGATTTTCCTGTTGTCCTCAAACGAGTCAAAACATTCGATGTACTTGAAATAAGGTGTGCGACTACCCAGGGTAAAGTCCTCGACTTCAATGGACTCTATATGAAGGAAAATCGTCTGGCGTTAGACAGAGTGAAATTCTGACGTCAACATCATCAGGTGGGGGGGGGAGCACATCAAATCAGTACAGGATAGTAACCCAGAACGCATATAAAAGAATAAGGTTCTCTCGTTCCAAAAATGTATGTTCTATAACCGGCCCTGGAAATAGTTAGTAACTGTAGTTGCTTATAATGAGTTCTGTTTACGGTTTAAGTGATGCACTCGGTGAATTTTGCTAATGATGAAGATATGTGGATTATGAATAATTGACATCTCACCTAGAAACGTGGGTTTATAGTATTCCAGTAACGGATCCAAACTGGTCTTGATCAAGGATAAGATAGAGCTATCACTAAACACACACCTAAAAAATCACAGCAATGTGTGTTAAATACGGTGAAATCTTTCACGGAAATCCGTCTTCAAATATAAATACAGCCTTTTGTGTGTGTTGGTGTTATGTACTCAAGTGAATATGATGTTTGTGACTGATGTTACTCTGAGTGTGTATCCACACCGGGCAAGCTGAAAAGTTTGGACTAAAAGAATCGAACGCGCAACCTTTGGGATATTAGTCCAATGCTCTACCAACTGATGCTCTACCTCATAGCTCAGTTGGTAGAGCATTGGACTAGTATCCCAAAGGTCGCGGTTCGATTCCCAACGTGGTCAGGCAAACTTTACAGCCTGCCCGGTGTGGATGCACACTCAGAGTAACATCACAAACATCGTGAATACAGCTCTTACCACCTATTCACGATAAAATTCAACCATTCGGCAGTCTCAGCGTTCTGAAATGCTCGTTCTCGACGCGCCTGGACATCGGCCAACCTCGCTGTCGTCTCCAAAATCTCGGAAGACGTTCGGTTCCACCAACTGAACACCAGGACGAGGAACGGTGCAAGCCACACGATGCCAAAACCAATACGTCCGAAGATCCAGGCAAGCACAACGAAGCCCGCAGTCGACACAACGAGACGGAAATAATGTTTGCCGCGAAACGCCTTCATATCCTCTGCCATGTTTACACTCGGGGATTCTTTCGCGTCTTTAGGACTCGGCGAAGGCGCAGTCTTGCCGGCTTCAGCCATGATGGGTTAAAGAATTTTGTTTCTTTCTGTAAATAAACATAGCGAATATATAATAGAGCTTGACAACTGAACTCTGTAGCTCAGTTGGTTAGAGCTCGACAACTGGCCTCTGTAGCTCAGTTGGTTAGAGCGGTGCACAGGAATCGCAGAGTCGCAGGACGTTCGGTTCCTGTCCGGCGGCTTATAGTTGCAACAGTTGATGGTTTTTTTGTACCGCAGATGGAACTTTCGAACGTAAATTTCTCATACACTTTTAAGGCCATTTTCCACTTCAACCGTATCGTAACGTATCGTAGCATCTTCAAGTTTTGTTTCGCTCGCTACTCTGGTTTAAATAAATTATTACAAAGCCCAGTCGAATTGTAATCAAGACCCAACGTTTCGACACTCCAGTCTCGTGTCTTCGTCGGGGGTGATCTAAAATTGCAATCACGTGAAACTTTAAATCTTCAAGTTTGTGTCGAAGTTGTTAGTTCCACTCTGGTGCTCAGGAAACAAAGAAATACGCTATACGCTTCGCTAAGTGGCAGTTGCGAAAAATGCAACCATATGTGAGGTCCTCTGGCAGGAATTGAACCTGCGCGGTCCTGCGATTCTGGCGCAGCGCTCTAACAACGTGAGCTACAGAGTCCTGTTGCTCAGTTTTAACCACAGATTCATACATCATCTTGGATTAGTTTAATTAAACGGTCCTTAAGCTACTAGGACCTTTCTGTATATATTACCATGCTCATAAGTATACTGCATGTATATATACATAGGCCTATACATTAGAAAAAATAATGAAATTCAATTGCATCACTAAAGTCTAAATCCATGCATGCCTATCATATGTCCATACTATTTCCATAGTATGAAAATTGCAATTGGTATATATGAAAATTGGATTTCCATACATACTATTTCCATCCGCATAGTAAGAATCCTGAAAAAAATTTCCAATGATATAGACAGTGCCATATCCTCATTTCATTGATTAAAGAAGAATACTTAGAGTATACTATATAGGTGCTGTATAAAGTTTCATCTGTGATTCCGTGTGTTTATGTATACCTGTTTTCGGCATATATCATGAACACGCTTTTATATTGTCTCTTTCAAAACAATTTCATGATTGACATTCACTATTTAACTGGGATACCGTCAAAACCCTCCACATGACAAAAACCGCACCAACCAAAAATTGCCACCGACAGAATCCCCCCTGACGAATGACGTACTTCGACTCTCAGCTTCCTTTCAGTTTAACAAAATCAAAACCACGATTTGGACCAGCTAAATCCGATAAAACGATGTCTAGTTTTAATTTTGCTCATAATTATTTCCAGTAAGAAATGCATATTGAGTTTTTCGACGCTCTCTCGTCCAAACTGATATTTATTTATTTATTTTACAAGCTTTCGATTACTTAAGTTACAAAGTTTTGCATCAAACATCTTTAAATTTTAAAAGAATTGCACGTTATAAACAAGTTTTCATGCTGGATTTTCTCAAATTTTCCCTGCATTTCCACGCGCTTGAAAACGTTGTTGCGAAAACAATTCCACAGTTTCTTCCGATGTTTCGCCGAGTTTGCCAATCTTTGGAAACATCGCCAAAGAAAGAAATTCTTTCCCAGTCCATATTTTGTTTCCTAAGACCCAGGTGTCGAGGAAACAATATGTTTCCTGGTTTTCAAACTTTCTGAAACATGGCTAGGAAACAATCAGTAACGTGGTTTGGCCACGTTTGGGAAACATGGCTAAGAATCATAGATATTTCCCTCTATAGTTTGCCCTTAATTAATTCGCTGAACGGTAAAGATAAAATATACCGAGTCAAAGCATCTCCTATTACGTAAATTATATACAATGTTTAAAAAATTCTTACAACCTGCTATGGAATATTGTTTGATAGTAGCATTATTGCATAAATTTAAAACTTATAATATACTTAGACAACAAACTATAAACTTTATATAATGATGTTGGTAAACTGTTATAAAATTGTTTTAAAAAAATTCATGATAATTTTGTGACACAAATTTTAATACATAATACGACAGTGTAAACATCACTGCATGCAATATATAGCTATAGTGCACGCATAATCATGCAATATTTGTATAACAATGTATATAAGTGTCCCAAACGTAAATTATATACAGTATTTAAGGTATTAATAAGTTACAACTTGCCTGTAGCGAAGTTAATTTCCTTCGGCCTGTTTGGAAGTGTGCGTCATTCTTTGGACATCCGATGAACAGTCCGTGACATTATTAATAATCTGAGCGTCTCTAAAGTGAAGCGGGTATTGCTATGGTTTAGCACAGTTGTAGTTTAGGCCGGCACGGCGGCATATATGGCGTCCCGTACAGGTACTGAACCGCGGAATGCTTCTCATGTTTAGGAAGACTGGATGCGAGTGACAAATCCTAGTAAAATTAATACATGAACGTTAGAAGTAGCAAAATACAGTCCAAAAGAAAACTACTGGATAGTATACTATTCAATATAGCACTCTCACTCAGCTCAGTCGAGTCAAGCTGGAATCGAACAGCTTGGCCGCTCAGACGGTGGGAAGCCTGAGCCCTCCCACGCGAAGGGGCGGGCTCCTGGGCGGATCGCTCGCAACCACATCGTGCCGTGTTGGTAACGTCTTCTTGTAGATGGAAATTATCGAATGGAAATTTATATATGCATTTGTTACACCTAAGGAACAGCTGCAAAAAATGCAACTATATATAGGTTCCTGGCAGGAGTCGAACCTGGCACCCTGCGATTCCGGTGCAGCGCTCTAACCAACTGAGCTACAGAGACCACCTGTCGAGCTCTAACCATCAATATCATTACGAGTGTTAAGGATAGCTCATAGCTCCAACCCTGTTTCCAAATAATCATTCAGTATCATATAAGAAATGGCAAAGGGAAAATAATCCTCTGCATGAACTAGGGTCAGATTCTGTCTCCTGATTGGATGATTACACAAAAGGTTTTCTGATTGGTTCAGTTCAAAACTTGTCACGTGTGAAGTGTGTTTTGATTGGCTGGTTGTTAATTGACTGTCATTGAGTGAGGTTATTACCGCTTTCAACCAGAGGTTTATTCAGTTCCGTTTGCCATTTCTGTTATTTATTCCATTCAATGAAAATAAACCTCTGGAACCGGGGTACATAAATTCATGAATTCTAAACTGTTCTACCTAGTGCTCTAGTACAGTAAGATGGCCCTTTGTTGATGCACGATTACTACAAGAGGAAACTTGGACCAAATATTTATGCTGGACAAATAACTCTATCAGTACTGATAGCTCTAACAGCTCTAAATTGTTCTTTCCTAGAGGTCCAGTAAGAGTCATCCTTTAGTTCCGCTGTTACTACAGGGGAGAACCTGGACCAAACTATTTATGCTGGACAGATAACTCTATCAATACTGATAGCTCTATCAGTTCTAAACTGTTCTTCATTAGAGGTCCAGTAAGAGTCATCCTTTAGCTCCACTGTTTCTACAGGAGGAAAACTAACTTTATTTTCTTTCAAAAAAAAATAATATATAATTCAGACTTTTAATTTAGAAATTGTAAAATTATATAATTTAGGAATTATTTGTATTATGTGTCCTGTGATGTTAGTTTAATGTTCTGTTTGTAATTGGGAAACCATTCTTGAGAGAATCTTGAATTCTGTTTATGGTATGCCCTAATACATCTAATTTGATATTTGTAAATATATGGAATTATATGTATTGAATTTTAATAAATACAAAATAAATAAATACAAAAAAATACAGTTCTAAACTCTTCTCCCTAGAGATCCAGTAAGGACAATCTCTTGTTGATCCGATTAGGGGGAATCAGAGCATCCAGCCGAGAAAGAGATTAAATTCAGACTTTTCGCAGGAGGAAAATAATGAAATAACTAAGTCGAAAAACGCAAAAATGAGCTGGGATACTTCGATACTTCCACAAAATAATCCTCTGATTAACTTTTTGCAATCAAGCAAACTGCATGAATTATATAATCATGTTGGATTTTATTCATGTTGTGGGAAAAGTACAATTCTCTGAGTACGATTATTATTGGTCAAATTTTATGTTAGTCTGCGAGCAGAATAATTTTATGCCCGAATACAGGCGTGGTTACCTAACAGAGCAATTCAGTGATAAGCAATGATAAGCAGCTTTATGAGATCAGTGACTTGGCGTGCACAATTCAAAATGGCGGTTTTTTAGGAGTGAAATTTTCAAAAAGACAAATATATTTTTAGTTTTTATCGCTATTTAATAGCCTATATATTTTAATTGACAGCATGGCAAGAAAGCTGACTTCACCGAGTTCAGGTCAATACTTTTTACTGTAAAATAATGTGCAATAAAGCCACTTGATTTATATGTTCTTGAAAGTTGAAATATAATATTCAATTTATATATCCATACAATAGATTTTTTGTGATTTATATATAGAATTAGATCCATCATTGCTGAGCTTTGAAAGGCTTGACCGTTCTTCTCCAGATCTATGGCCTGATCAGAGTAAGTTCCAGTGCACTGTGGCACTAAATTAATTCATTGAAAACAGCCAAAAGACTAATAATATCTCATATTTATTTGCAGTGCCTGGTGTGTCAGACTTTGCAGAATTACGATCAAGTGTAAGTTGAATCAGATGCTGTGTCGATATTTGTTAATAAACTGACCACTGTGGAAAGTTTGTATCGCACAACCGAGATCTTAGGCATACAGTTTTGATGTACATACATATAGTTCTTTCCCCTCAAACGGTTGCCAAAACAGCCTGTTTCATCCACGAAGAATCATCAGGAGATCCACGAGGAATCGTCAGGTGGCTCCTGATGATTCCTCTTGGATGAAATAGGTTGTTGTGGCAACATTTCGAGGTAAAACGACTATTTCTGCTCTATATGATATCAAGCACTCTTTGGCATTTTGTGAACCAAACCACATTTGTATATAACACATAAGTAAAATTGTCTGCCATATAATTAAACAAAATAAAAACAAACTAGTTTGTATTAGGGTGCATTGCAGCATAATGGGTTAACTTTTTAAGTGGCAATGTGCCCGACTTTATTATCTTACTCTGTCTAATGCCGGATGATTTTTCTCATTAAGGAGAGAGCACTACCACTCAATGGGTTAATCAGACTGTTTGCCCATGCACTCTGTTAACAAGAGCCATAATGGACCTATTACCTAATAAACAAAATTTTGATCTAGACAAACATTTCATCACAGCTTGAAAGAGCATCACAAAATTAGTAATATTCCAAAGTTTTGTTGCAAAATGTTGTAAAATGCGGATAATATAGCCCTGCAAAATTTCCGTTTTTCAGTCATTTTGTATTTATACGCACGAGAAATTGATATCGCTTTCTGAAAAAGGTATCAATTTCCTGCTCATAATACAAAATGACTGAAAAACGGCAAACTTTGCAGGGCTATATTATCCGCATTTTACAACATTTCACAACGAAACTTTGGAATATTACTAATTTTGCGATGCTCTTTCAAGCTGTGGTGAAATGTTTGTCTAGACTTGTCTAGATCAAAATTTTGTTCATTATAGGGAATAGGTCCATTGGATCTGGGCCAATCAAGTTCTGAGTCACTTTTGTTAAACCCTATAGCCTTATCCAGGTTCGACTGGGGAAACAAAATTATCAACTGGCTTTTCTGATGGTGATATGGATTTATTACAAGGTTTGTATAAAACACCCCAAATTATTAATATAATAATATGTATATATAATTAGCTAAGTTTTATTCCGTCTGTGTAGAGTTTGGTAGTTTGACAACAGCACAATTGATGGAAAAGGTCAGAGGACTTCAAAATTTGGCTTATCAGCTTGGCTTAGAAGAAGGTATGTTACTGAATATTAGAGTAGAGAGGTTAATTGGTAACTAATAATTGTTACCAATCAGATGCATTTATTCTGCCCAATTAACCAATCAAATGAATAATAAACCTGTGAGTGTGAGAGGTAGCTGTAGTGGTAATCAGATCTGAAGCTCAGTCCATCACTGAATAAGGAATATTTCTGGGTCTAGACTGTTCAACTTTTAATCATTTATATTTTGTATTTAGCTCTCATTTTCTTTCCTTTTTTCTAGCAAGAGAAATGACCAGAGGGAAGTTTTTGAATATTCTGCAGAAAAGTCAAAGAAATACCCGACAAAAACATTAATGAAACATTATGTTCCATAGAACTGTCCTAACTATGCATGACATGTATATATTAATATAAAGTTTCAGTAAAATAATATTATTATTTAATATACAATTTCAGTTTCATAAAGTTTCAGACGTAAAGTTTTAAAGCCATTTAAGCAACTGATCAGTCATAGTGTAAATTACACAAGACAAACTATCCAGGCACACTAGGGTGATCTACACTGGCATCAAAAGGTTCTGTTCATCTAATGCTGTATTTACTGTTTTACACACTTTCATTTCATTTCATTGACTTTATTTACAGAGGGTAATACATGACAGTAAGCGTGAGCTACTGATAAATTAGTGGCCCTCATAAACTATATTACAACTATATAAACAAGAAATGATTAATGTAACAAAGTACAGTATCATCCTAACGGGCATCTGTCAATAAGTCATTAAAATAGTATTAAAATAGTTATAATAAAATATTATACAAGATTATAATTGCATAGTGGTCTTTTGTTCCAGCAACAATTGCGCATATAACATTCGTTTGAACTTAGCTACGGACTTTTGGCTGCGCAATGTAATGTCTAAAGCATTCCATTATTTGGTAGTCCTTACAACAAAGGTGCGGCCACCTTCTGTTTCTCGCTTGTACTTTGCACACACCAAATTAAATCCCTGTATATGCAAATTTCTCCATGATCATGCATTTTTGACATAATGAAGCAATAATTCAATGGCATTGTCTCTGTTGAGTCACTCAACCGTACTTTAGAAATATAAATAAGGAAAATTTTGTGGATGGTCTCAACCAGTGATCTCAACATGATTTCCAAATGATTGACTATATGATCAAACTTAACTAAGTAATTAAGCAGATAGTTTGTCCTGTCCGATGGTCTGTTAATGGAAAAGTAGCCAACTATTTTATTAGTTTATTAAATAATATGCTTCTAAACGACCTTGGAATTCAATGTACACCACATTCTAATTAACATAATCCCCATGTCATTCTCATGTATGTATTAATGCATACCTGCAAAATTTTAAAAACTTGTAAAAAAATTCTATTTGATACACATTTGTATCCAAAATTTTCAAAACACTGCATGTTTCGAGCATTCTTATTGGATCCTGATCGAAATATTAAAATATCATATTTTACAAAGTTCATTAATATGCAACCAATTAATTAATGCGGTTGCGGTTTTAATTAGAATCTGTCCCAATGCGGTATCATTTTACGTAATTGCCGTTTCGGAGACGATTGTAATACAGCATTGTCTTTTATGGAGTAAACTGAGTTTAATTTTGGGTTTACCGTACTAGAAACGTTGCTAGGTTTGACAACAGTTTTGTGAGATTGAAGAGGTGTTAAAAGCGTTCAAATAATGTCTTCAGAGACGGCGAAACCTCGCCAGATCGGGGCAATGTTTCGTGGCCCTGGCCCGGCTAGATATCTGCTGCCTGGAAGCACGGGTTTCAAGCTTCATGATCCAACAAAGAACAAGGCCCCTGCGTACAGTTTGGGTATAAAGTCGTCGAAATTGGACCAAGGACCGGCCAGCCCTGGTCCAGCTTACTTGGTCCCACCGAATATCACCAGGACGGGAATGGAAGGGACGCCACGCTACTCTTTGGCAGCCCGTACGCGATCGACTGGCGCCTTTCAGACACCAGCTCCAGGTAACTAAGAAAGATCAAGCCTTAAATACTTTTTATTTATAGAAATTTTAGATCGATTTGATTTTACTACATTTTTTAAGAAATCGATTTGTTGCAATTACTATATGACTTGTTACAATTATTCCAGTGACACGTTAATATAGAACATGGCACGAAAACGCGCGAATCTCCGCAATTTTTCCGCGAAATATTGTGCGCCTAAGAAGTTGCTATTCTTCTCAATAAAACACTCATTTTTATAATGTAGTTTCTCCCAAATTATGACTGTTTTTTGTTTCAAAATAGGCAAATTCCCCTAGCATTTGTTTACTTCCAGCTAAAATTTGGTTGTCAAGGTGTCTAGATTTCATATTGACTTTTGCTGTAAAGCCGTGATTGTCAACTGAAATTGGTTGTCATGGACATCGGCATTTATTTGATCGTAAGATTTTTGAAACCTAAAACGTTTTTAAAATCAGGTCCATTTTACTACGAGTTCCCTGTTGAGAGGCATTTTTAATAAACGTGATGTCTTATGTTTGAAATTTAAATTTACTCTCGAATAAAAATAATCTTAGGGGTAGTCATTCGAAAGCCGATTATAGCATTACCCATTCTTTAGTTTAATCCTGCCCGTTAAAGGAAAAATATGCAAGCGATCGCGAATCTGATAGCAGAATTAAACTTATTAGAATCACTCGTTGTCTATTTGCCTTCAAAATCAAATTGAAAAAAAAACTCTATTTGTAACAAATAGCTGTATATATAGTCTAACTATGGTATAGTAAATAATCACTCTCTAAATAATCACTCTCCTATATAAAAACATTTTTAAGTATATTTTTTGGAATATACAGGTATTAGTTATTTTGTACTTTTGTCGTTTTAATATTATTTTTCTTCTTCTAAACATTTGACTGTAAATAATTTAATTAATTAATCAATTCTTTATCAACTAGGGGTTAAGATTCAAAAGCCTGTCCAGGTTTCTAGTAGACCTCTAAGCCTTACATTGCTACAGAATTACTATTCTTGTAAATACTACTGCCTACTGGGCGAAAATCAATTAAATAAAAAATGAGAATCACTTAGTCCAATAAAACGATCTTGAACAACTGTGTTTGAACACAGATTTTTTAAGAGAATTTTACTGTCTACTGACCTGCCCCCTGAGAAAATTTAACTTACTAATTTTATAATAGTATTATTAAACCAAATGGCACATATAATCTTGTGAATCAGAATGTATGATTCTGTATGGGCCAGCCATAAGTTTAACAACTTTAATTTGGCATTTTTACAAAAGAAATATAACAATAAAAAACATACCAAATAAGGCATGGCACGAACGGGACAAGTCCCATGCAAGGAGCCAGCCATAAAGCATGCATCCGACTAATATGACTTTGAATGCATTGACCAATTTGGCTACTTATTTCAGCATATATAGGTATTACTGCTCCCTGGCAAAATAATCCTGCATATAGCCAAGCACAAGAGCATAGAAAATGTTTTTATTGATATATCTCAGATTCATCTTTCGATGCAAACAATATTAAACTCATCCAAAATATTTCAGGTACGTACTCGCCAGAGAAGCAGAAGTACCCCTACCATAAATATCCTCCGCAGTACTCGTTTGGTTCAAGAACCAAAACTGGTAAAAAAGACAGGACACCCGGACCAAACATGTATAACCTACCCGGGATACTTGGGCCAAAAGCTGTCGGAAAGAAATCAGCGCCATCTTATAGTTTGGTTGGAAGAAGCAAAATTGGAGGATTTCATGAAGATCTGCAAAGGGTATTAAAAGAATTATGTCATTTATTTCACTTGGCTGTTCATATAACCACCACCAACATCACTATCAGTACCAACACCATCATCACCACCATCTTATCACCATTGACTGTCACAAATCACCATCATCATCAATCATTACATAACCAGCTCCATTACCATCACCATCATATTTATGCCAGGAGCATCATCATAACCACCAAATGAATACCATTACCATTATTATCACCATCATCATTGTACCATCATCACAATCACTGTCCGCACCATCACCTCCACTCATGATCTCACCATCACTTTCATTATTACCACCATCATTGTCACTGGTCAATCATCATTCCCACCACTACTAACATCACCACCATCATCTGATCATCATCACCATCATCACCAACTCCATAATCACCATCACCACCACCATCAATATCACCACCACCATCAATATCACCACCACCATCAATATCACCACCACCACCATCATCATCACCAACTCCATAATCACCATCATCACCACCACCAATATCACCACCAATATCAACACCACCATCATCACCATCACCATCACCAACTCCATAATCACCATCACCACCACCATCAATATCACCACCACCATCAATACCACCACCACCAC